GTGGAGAGCCAGGATAGACCCTGGCCTGGCTCTTGGGCTCTGGGCCCAATTCTGCTTCTGTCAAGCCCCAAGGAGAATTCTGAACACAGTAGCTTCTCGGATGTTAACAAATACTATTTGAAAAAAGATTTTAAAATAGATGAAAATTCTGAGTTGATCCAAAATAAATAGATTGCTTTACTATAGAAAATTTCAGAGCTTTTATTAATAATACCTTATAAACCTCTAGTAGGGCATTAATATAGTGAAAGGGTTTTGTCCCAGGCAGGACACTGTAGCCAGGAAAGCCACAGCCGGAAGCAGGAAGCCCCTATCTCCCCTACCCCTAGGAAGTTACCTGTGACGCCATCTTCCCGCCCCTGGAAATTTACATATGGTGCCAAACCTAGGACCAATGGGCTACCTGTGCATCCCTAATGCCCGCCTTAGGTTCCACCCCAAACCGAGGCTACTTACATACCCCCCATGCCACGTGTCTGCCGGAGAGATCACCGGACGCCAGCGGTGGGGGGTGCCGGTCATCTCTCTCCGTGTTCTCAGAATAAAGGCCGCTTTTTATTTTATATTTCTCATCTTTTGTTAATATTTTTCATCTTTTGGAAATAACCCTAGCATATATGTCATATTTTTCAAATTTGTTTTGCTAGGAAACATCTTTTTTTTTCCAAAAAGCACTTTGAAGGCTTAGTGTTCTGCAGGAATCTGTGAGAAAATACCAGCGTGTGCCAGTTTGCCTCATGTGCCATTTCATATTTTCCACAAATGTTCAGTGGCTGCCCCGTATTCCACAATATGATTAAACCAAAATTTGTGCTTTCTGTCCCTGACAGACATTGAGATTGTTTCGATTTTTCAGTGTAACCAACAATTCCATAGTGAATTCTGGTGACTCTGACCATCTCTGGCCATTCCCTGAAGGGTGAAATTGTTGCTTGCAGTGTGTGAACACATCCAGGCTCTGGAACTGCCTTGTCTGGTGGCTTCCACACAGATCCTTCTCATCTGTCTCCGGGGCTTGCCCAGGGTGGAGGCTGGGGTCGGGGTAGGTTCTGCTGTCCTGCAGACTTGAAGGCCCCCTGAGGATCCCTGAGGATGACTGTATTGGGAGGTGGCAGAGCCTTTAGGAAGTTGGACCAAGGGGGACCTGCAAGGGTGTGGCCTGGAAGGGTGCTAAGGGACCCAGCTCCTCCCTTTTCCTTTCTTTTGTGCCCTGGCCTGTGGTGAGGTGAACAGTTTTGCTCTATTGCATGTTTCCACCATGATGTGCTGAGCATCAAGCCCAACTGACTGTCCCTTGAACCTTCAGGAAGGAGGCTTGCCTGGCCAGGAGAAGCCTGACTTGTTAGAAGCTGATGGTCTCAGGTGTTTTATTATAGTTGCATGAAGTGGATTAACACAGCTTCCATCTATGAAGGGCTAAGAAATTCAATAGGCTTAAAGTGCTTGGCAAGCCATTTCCTTCCTGCCTACATGTAGACATCAGCAATTAAAAAACAGTCACACGCACAATGGATATAACCAACTTCTCTTTTCCCAATTTCCTGTGCTGCCTCTAAACCATCCAGCGACACCTAAGGTTACCTGACTGCTGGAGTTTGGAATCCAGATACTTCATCAGGGAGCTAGAGAAGACAGGATTTTAAATTGACACCTGTCATGCTCAATTCCAAATAACTTTTCAAGGTCAGATTTAAAATAAAGCGTTGTCAACCTCTGGTGATGGAGAGCTTTGTTTCTAGACAAATCTCTTTTCTGTAAGCATCACATCCATCTTGACTGTGACCCCATGGAAATGGAATCCTGTCCTTTTGAACATAGAGGTTGATACTGGTGCATTTATTTCATCTTTATACAGGGAAATTGCAAGGCACAAACATTGCAAGCTCTAAGTGATTTGTCTTTTTGTCCTCCACAAATATTACCCTTTGGTTAATGCATTATTGGGTTTTAGAAATGAGATGTGAACTTTTAACTCATTAAAAGCCCCAAGACTCCAGCAATAAAGTCCTCTAAGTGGCTTCACCAACAGATTTATTTCAGAGTGATTCCGTTCGGAGGAAGGAAGGAAGGAAGGGGGCTTGCATCATACACCAAGAGTTCTTCAATAATTCACAAGACCTGCATCTGCTGATGGCTTCAGAGGTGGCTCCTGTTAGAGTGCAAAGGGACCCTGTCTCAGACCGTGGGCACGGTTTGCTTCTCTTGCTTGACTTCTGAGAAATGAAGTTTGCGCTAACTCTCCTTCTTAGGTGCAGACTATTTTGAAAATTAAAAATGGGCGTTTTATGTAACTGGGCTGAAAGGATACTTTGTTTGCATTCCCTGTCAGTTAGCAAAGTAGGACTGCTGCAAAGGTGCATTGCTATTTCCCTCTTGGGCGGGAACCCCAGCTGTTTTGTGTGAAGAGTGGAATACTAAAGAGCGTGCTAAACTCAGCAGGCTGATGACAGTTAAATTGGACGGCCACCTTGATTGACTTGGGATCCACACAGGGTCTTAGTAAAACGTACTTCTGGGTATGTCTGGGTGCATCGTGGAGGTGTAGCCAAGGGATCTATGTTTGGTCCCTGGCCCCTTCCTCTCTGGTATATTCCCCTGCTCTGCTTCCTGGATGCCACAGACTAAGTGGCTTTGCTCCATCTTGCCCTCCCACCATGATGTTCCTGCCGTGGAGCCAGGTGATCATGGATTGCATCCCTTGAAACCATGAGTCAAATTAAACCTCTCCTTAAGTTGCAGATGTCAGGGATTATAGCTTAGCAAGAGCAGTGATGAGTAAGACACATGGATTTGTGGAAGCACGTGGTGTTGGGCAGTCAGAGAATGGGGGAGGCACACAGGGCCGGGGCTGGCCGTTCCTCCACTGAGCTCTGGAGCCGTGAGTGTCGTGTACCTCCAGCCCCTACTCAGCTGAGGTGTGAACTCCCAGGCTCGTCCTGGGCTTTGCCCTGCCCTTTCCATTTTCTGAAGACCATAGTCCACGCTCCAGGGTACTTTCTTTTCTGGACAGAGACCACGTGGAGTGGCTGGGTGAGGTGGACTGCCTCCATTCTGCCCCTCTGTGAGTGCTGCCAGCACTGCCGTGTACTGAAGGGAAGCCAGGGGAGCCCAGATATGGGCGTTCCCCTTGGAAAGACCTTGTTCCATGAGGGGTGTCACATGGGGAGGGAACAAGTCATGGTTTTGGTTTTTGGCCAGAAAGCTGCAGGATCCATCCATCCTTTCTTCCCTGCTGCCCCACGCAACCCAGGAAATATGGTTGCTTTATTTTAACTTAAAAGTGTTTTTACTTAAAATACTGTAGAGATTCACACTATAGAGTCTTATAAGAAAAAATGTAAAAAAAAAAATACTAGAAATCCCATGAACATTTTGAGAAACATCATGTTTCTGGTGTGTAGAGAGAGACAAGCTCTCACATGCACTTCACCCTAAATCATATTATATGCGCTGCTTTGAGGCTATTCATTGCAGAGTCTATCAGAGGTGACTTTCCCTTATAAATAAGAAACTGTGCCATCATTTTAACAGCTGGAAAATAGTCCACATACGTCTTTGCTAGCTCCAGCAGCTGTAACAAAATATTATGGACTGAGCGGCTTAAAAACAACAGACATTATTTCTCAAAGGATTGAGAATTCAAGGTCAAAGCCCAAGGTCAAAGTGTGAGCAGAGTGGATGGCTGGTCAGGGCCTCTGCCTGGTTGGTAGCCGGCTCTGCCAAGGAGAGAGAGACAGATGGAAGGGAACACAAGTATCAGACTTTTCTCTTGGGTGTGCTACCAGGGACTCAGCCAAGCTTGACTCCTTCCAAAGGCGCCACCTCCAAGTGCCATCACATAGGAAGTAGGGCTCAATACAAGAACTTTGGAGGATGTGAACATTCAGTCCTGAACAGCTAATAAATTAATAAGCATCTCATAATTATCTTTATTTGCATTCTTTTATGCTAATTGAACATGTTTTAAAATACGTATTGGCAATTGATGTCTTCTCCTCTGGGATTTTTCTATATATGTGTATGTATCTATGTTCATCTCTCTATTGACCATTTTTCCCCCCACTGGCTTGCAAAACCCCTCCAAGAAATTTTTGAATTAAACAAAAGGCAAATCAAGACTGGGCCCTTCTCCAGAATGTGTATAGCAGGTGTTCTTGAGCATAATTATTTGGTTGTGCTTGGAGGGCGCCAGTATGTTTTGTTAGCATCTTGGATGGAGCACGCCTGACGTCTCACCACTGGTGACCTTCGGTGCCTGAGAAAGCCCCGCACTGGGTCCCCGGGCCTGGCCAGCATCCAGACCCCAGCGTGGCACACAAATACCGTGATCTTTGTCAGTGTTCCAGTTCCCTGCCTTGGAGCATAATCTTTTTCTTTTCTTTTTGTCTTTTTCCTTTTTATCGGTACTGGGGATCAAACTCACGACTGCCTACTTCCAAGGCAGGCGCTTATGCCGCTGAGCTAAACCTCCAGCTCCTACGCACAATCTTTTTCTTACAGCTGTATAATTCTAAGGAGATTGCACCAGGGCAGTCAATAGTTACATAAATGATGAGCAAGAGAGAACAGAAAATTCATACGATGACAACCTTTAACATGAAATTTGATTTCTGGCTTATCTCAATAGATTTCATGGTCTATAAACCATGTGTGTGGGTACACAATCGTGTGTGGGCTTGTATGTGTGTGCACTCATGTGGGAGAGAGGAGTTTGTTATTTAAAACAAGACCTGACTGGGGTGCATACCTGTGATCCCAGCACTCAGGAGGCTGAGGCAGGAGGACTGTTATAAGTTCAAGAGCAGCCTGGGCTACAAAGTGAGCTCAAGGCCAACCTGAACTGCATAGCAAGACTCTGGCTTAAAAAGACAAAAATAAAATAAAATAAGCCCTGTCAAGATCCTGAGAGGAGTTCATGGATCTTATTGGGATGTTGCAGATCCTGTTGCTTAAATGCATCTTGTTCACACTTCCCTGGATCTGTTGTTGTTTTTAAACAGTTTCACTCGCTGGCTCCCATGTACTATCGAGGATCTGCTGCGGCCGTCATAGTCTACGACATCACCAAACAGGTAAGCTGTCCCTTGCGGGGCGCAGATGCCATGCGTGGTGACTCCTTTTGATACTTCCTAGGAGACCAAGCAGAGATGACACTGCTTGAGTCTTGCCAGAAGTCTGGGTGAACCGGCCAGGTGGGGTTGGGGGTAGCAAACAGCAGAATTAAACAGTGCACATTCACTTTAAAAGCTGTCCATGTGCAGGGCTAGGGCGTGCCTGCCAGTGCTGTGTTTCTAAGTTCTGCTTGAGTTTTTCTCTGCTTAGTTTTATTTATTTATTTATTTATGTCTTTTTCTTTTTTTATCGGTACCGGGGATCGAACTCACGACTGCCTGCTTGCAAGGCAGGCACTTACGCCGCTGAGCTAAATCCCCAGCCCCTCTCTGCTTAGTTTTTAAATTATAATTATTAACACATAATGATGATGTAAGATAATGGGGTTCATGGTGCTCTTCCAATCCATGCATCCGCCATCCGTCCTTCCACTCTCTGCACCCCTTCTTCTGCCTCCCCCGGAGCCCTGCCCAGTTCCCGGAAGTCCCTCTCACTCTCTTCTTGCCTGCCGTCTCTTCGCCCTCCCCATCTCTCATGACCACTGTTTCATTCCTTCCTTCTACATGTTTTCTAGTTACACTCACTTTCTGGTGTCACAGTTACCCTGTTAAAACACCTTAGATATTTGTGTGTGTGGGTGAATGTGCCATGTCTTTCCACGGTCTCACTTACCTGGGGTCAGTGGTCAGCTGCAAATGTTAAATAGAAAATTCCAAAAGTAAATAATTCCTGAGTTTTAATGAACTTCTATTACACTGTGCTGTTCTGCAGTAATTGTTCTGCTTTCTTGTCATTGTTTACCTCTGACTGTACCTAATTTGTAAGCAGGGCAGGGCTTGGGACACTGCGTAGTTTCAGGTGGCCACTGTATTTCAGTTTATCATGGTAAAGTTAAGAATATTCATCAGTAAGTAACTGTAGCTGTTTATGGCATGTTTGCCATCTCCTGTACAGTAAATTGAATTATTTACTGTTCTCTCTGGAGTGCTAACGAGGGCTTGTGACCTTCAGCATCATGACCTGACATGCGACCTTTTCCATGTTCCTGACACTTCATGTGGAGGTTGCTTTCATGCTGGCCTGTCCCCAGGAGGGTCCTTGTGAGGAAAAAGTCAAAAGGAAAATAGGACTCACCACAGATGTTTCTTACCTGAAGGAACGTGGACGTTCATGTCTGTTAGTCTTGTTATCCTTATTCATGTGGAGTCAAGACCATAGTTGTGAATTATTGTTACTTATAAACCAGAATCACCAATGATCTTCCTAACTTCACCAAGTTTCAGTTTTGGGAAAAGGAACTTTTTACAGCCCATTGAGACATGGCTTACGTAATGTGAAGTGTAGGAGTCTCCTGGAATTATTTTTGTCCATTAAGTTATGTTAGGTTCATATTTCTATTTGGTTGGAATAGCATATTGGCCATCTTTTCAATGATTCCCACTTACACTTTCCATTTAGGATTCATTTCATACCTTGAAGAAATGGGTCAAAGAACTGAAAGAACATGGCCCAGAGAATATCGTAATGGCCATTGCTGGGAACAAGTGTGATCTCTCCGATATTAGGTAAGGGGCATGTAACTTAGTGTCTGTGTATGTGTGTGACATCATCTCTGAGCATCTGTGGTAACAGGCACTGTATTTTGCCTTCGCTGTTGTTTGTGCATTCAGTGTAAGGCTTTAATTGCCTGCCAGCCACTGTGGTAGCCAGCGTGGTTCTTTCCATCACAGTGAACATAGTGGAACCAGCACAGATATGTTGGGCCACACAGTGATGAATATTACATTCAAATCTCCTGTACACAGCATAGATACATCCCTGACTGCAGATATCCTTGGATTATATTGTTTTGTTATTTTTATTGCTGTTTTCCATTATTATCATTACTATTGGTACAATTTTTATAATGTTTTCATATAGTAAACTATCGTAGAATTCTTACCATTTTCCACAGCATCCCTGTTTGTGTTAGGTCTAGATTTTATCCTAAGGACATAGTTTATTCTATAGAATGTCACTCTGTTGTTCTAGGCCTAAATATGACATGTTTTAGAGGAGTACTTTTAGGTGACTGTCACTGGCTATGGATTGTGAGCTTCTGTACCTGGTGTCTTAGTCTGTTTTCTGTTGCTGTATCAGAATATCTGATTCTAAGTGTTGTATAAAGACATGAAGTCTATTTAGCTCACACTTCTGGAGATTTAAAAATGTGACACTGGTGTCCCAGCTTCATCATAGTGTGGTAGAGAATCAGAAAGGGAGCCAGCTGTGCACTGAAGGAATCTCTTGGTGAGACACGAAGCTAAAGAGATCAGGGGTCAGTTTCTCTCTGTTTATAACAACCCACTCCGGCAGGAATGAACTAGGGTCTGTGGAGCACCACACAGATCCCTGTATTCAGGGCAGCACACTGTGACCTGCTCACAATCCATCAGGCCCCACTCTAAAGATCCCACACCTCAGCATCACCCACTGGAGCCCAAGCTTCGAGGACATGAAACTTTAGGAGAACACCTCAAATGGCACCCAAATCACAGTGCTCACACAGAGGCTGGTGAGGGACCCAGTCCACACCAGAGATCTGATGATAACTTTATCTAGTCAGGTAGGCGAGCTATTTCTCTAAATAAATGTTATTTTTAAAAACTGCATGATGGGGGCCGGAGATTTAGCTCAGCGGCATAAGCGCCTGCCTTGTAAGCAGACAGTCGTGAGTTCGATCCCCGGTACTGATAAAAAGGAAAAAGACAAAAAAAAAAAAAAAAACAAAAAAAACCCCTGCATGATAGTCTTCCTTATCTGGGGGGAGTGCCTGAACCACAGATAGTACCAAGCCTCCTACATACGGTACTTTCTTCCTTCACACACGGACCTACAATAAGGTTTAATGTTTGCCTTAGGCATAGTAAAGGATTGATGATAGGAACTGAAAATAAAATGGGATTATCGTAACAATCTACTGTAATAAAAGTCATCTAAAACTTATGAATCGTTTAGCTGTAGAAGTTTCCATTTCATATATTCAGACCCAGATGACCACAGTAACTGACACCATGGAAAGTGAAACCACCAGGGCCGGGCTCTGCGGTCAGGGGTTTGTGTCGTCCTGAGCTGATTTAATTCTCAGGAATTCTAGCTGTCAATTTTCAGGAAGATAACTGACTACATCTTGCTTCTAATTCTGCCCATACAAGTTAAAGAAGCGATGCAGGTGGATCTTGTGAAAGTTTTTACCATGGCATTTAATAAACTGCTCTGTTTCTTTGGGATTTCACAAGCTTTAGACTGCTTTGCACCAAACTGGTTTGCAGTAACAGCTGTCAACTCTGCTGAAGCGCTTGTTTTTCTGGGGGTCGGACAACTCTTTACAATCCCACACTTGGTTCAGGTATCTGCTGTCTTTACTGTAACCCAAGGCAGCTTGCCTGGCTGGTGGTGTTTGATCCTAACACATTTCAGTGTTTTAAACATGTAATATATTTGATTGAGATCATTTACAAATCTTAAAAACTTTTTGAAGTGTATAGTTCAATAAAGTTTAGTGTAGTTAGCAGTACAATCATTACCACATCTGATGTTAGGGTATTTCTGTTGCCCTGCAAAAAACACCCTGCCTCTATATTGTCACTCTAATCTCCACCTTCCTGCAGCCCTTGCGAACCACTGGTCTGTTTTTTTGTCTCCATAAATTTGATCTGCACAATTTGTGCAATTGAGATCCATACAGTATCATCCGATGTTCATGCATGTTGTAGCGTGTATCTCTTTCATTTTTATATTCCCATAGGAAGCCATTGTGTGGGCATCCACATTGTTTTTATTCATTCAATAGTTGATACATGAGTCCTTTGTTCTTTTTGGCCATTTTGAAACATGCAGATTTGAATAAACGACAAACTTTGTGTGAATAAGCTTATCTTTCTCCCATGTACTTACCCAGGAGCAGAATTTCTGAGTCATATATAACTCTATGGTTAGCACTTAAGGAATTGTTTTCCAAGTGACCACCCCCTTTTATACCCTCCTGGCAGTGTGTGAGGTCATAATTTACCTTCTTCAACAGTTTTTATTATCTATCTCTTTGCTTTAGCCATCTCCATTGTGTGCGTGTGTGTGCAGGTGTGTTGCAGTGCACATTGAACCCAGGGCCTTGCACGTGCTAGGCAAGTGTTGTACCACTGAGTTGTGCCCCTAGTCATCTCATTATTTTTTGATTTGTATTTTCCTAATGAATTTAATGAAGTCAAGTAATTTGCACATCTTCTTTGGAGAAAGACCTCTCCAAATCCTTTGCCAGTTTTTTTTTTTTTTTTTTTTTTTTGTCTTTTTCCTTTTTATCGGTACCGGGGATCGAACTGCCTGCTTACAAGGCAGGTGCTTATGCCGCTGAGCTAAATCCCCAGCCCCCCTTTGCCAGTTTTTAACTGGATTATTTGTCTTTTTACTGCCTTGCTGTAGGAGTTGTCTGTGTATTCTGAATACAAGTACCTTCGCAATACCTGATTTCAATATTCTGCCAAAAAAAGTAATAAGAACTGTGAGAGTAATAAAACCCAAAATGTGTAATTGTTATTGTAAAAAAGAGAGGAAAAGAAAGTGCTCTAAAGGATACTACTGCAAGTGTGTTTAGGTGTGTAAGATAGATGACCATATTACTAAGTTTTTGTTGGATCATTGAACACAACTGTTTGCAGTCTCACTGTTTGAATGTCCACTTTGTATGCTTTAATTTGTAACTTGAGCAACTATTTCTAAGATGACAATATGTAATCTATTAACTAATGATTTCTTACTGTTTTTTTTTTAATTCTGTATTACTTGTACCCTTTTACTGTTTGGGTTTTTTTTCTCTCTCTTTCTTTAAATTAAAAAAAAAAAAAAAGAAAATATTCTGCCCTCTCTGTGGGCGGTCTCTTTATAGTGTTTACTGTGCTCCAGAGGTGCAGACATTTAATTCCTAATTTGTCTTTTTTCCCCTTTTATCTTTTGTGCCCAATGATTGGCAAAATAAAACCACAAAGATCTGCACTTAACATTTTCTAAGTTTCAGTGTGTGTGTGTGTGTGTGTGTGTGTGTTTAGAGTCATCCTGCATCTTGTGTTAATTTTGTGTACAATGTGTGATAGAGCTCCACCTTTTTCTGCTGGCTATGTAATTATTATAGCATGATTTGTTGACAAGATGATTTTTTTTCTCTTGATTTTCTTGAGCACTATTGTCAAAAACTAGCTGGCCATCATTGCTGTCTTGCTTTTGTGTTCTTAATTTTAATCAGTTTTAATCAGTTGACCTGGGTATCTGTCCTTAGGCTACCATCAGAGTACTCTGACTGATGTGCTTTGGGATAGGTTTGAAGTTGGTATTGTAGGCCTTCCAAAGATGTTCTGTTTTCATGATTGATTGGTTATTTGGGGTCATTTATGTATCCATACGAATCCTAGGATCCACTTCTCAATTTTTGCAAAGAAAGAAAGAATAACTAGGCATGGTCACACATGCCTATAATCCCAGCACTTGGGAGGCTGAGACAGGAAGATTACGGTGAGTTCAAGGCCAGCTCATAATGAGCTTAAGGCCAGCCTGAACCACATAGTAAGAGATAATTTTTGGAATGAAATCTCAAAAAAAAAAAAAAAAAAAAAAAAAAAAAAAAGAAAGAAAAGAAAAGAAAGAAAGGAAAAGACAGGCATCCAAGTTGCAATTTTAAAGGGGTTGTGCTGATTTCTTAGACCAGTTTGGGGATTATTATCATTTTAAAACACTGCTATATCTTCTGGTTCATGAATTTAAAATACTCCTTTCTTTAGGTCTTCTTTAATTCCTTTTAGCAATATTTTATATTTTCAGGGCACAATCTTCTGTTGTTGTTGTTGTTGTGTTTTTCTAATGCTGGGGTTGAACCCAGGGCCTGACGTACGCAGGACAAGCCCTCTGCCCCTGAACCACACCTCCAGGCCCTAATGTACACACCTCTCATTTCTTTGTTGATATTTATTCCTACTTAATTTTATTCTTGGTGGTTCTATGAATGGGACTGTTGTCTTACTTCTACTTACATCAGGCTTGTTGCTGAAATGTAGAAATATGATGAAGTTTTGAATGTTTTTCCTAGTATCCTAAAAGAATTAGTGAACTCAGTTATTAGTTCTAGTAGTGTTTTAGTAGATTCTTTGAGGTATTCAGTATACAAGATTATGTCATCTGTGAGGAAAGAGTTTGGCTTCTTTATTCCCACTGTGGGTAGCTTTTGTTTATTTATTTTTCTTGTCCAGGTGGCCTAGCCAGAACCTCCAGTCCGTGTTGGCTAAGGTGAGGCTGTACCTTCTTTCTTCTCCTGACCTTGGCATGGGTCGTTGAGCCTGTCCCTACTCGGTGTGACGTTTGCTGTAGGTTTTATGTCTAAAACGCGCATATTTATTTGAAAACTTGTAACACGAACATTTACAGGTACACATTTTCCTCCAAGCACCACTTTAGCAGCAGCCAATGACATTTTTTGTGTTCTGTTTTTAATCATCTCAAAGTGGTTTCTAATTTATTTTCAGATCCATTATTTATTTAGTAC